CCTAGAGGCTCTGCACGGCCATTTTGGTGAAGGGCCGGGTTTTGGGAGCAGAAAAATGCTGTATTCAGTGTATGAGACACACCCAGATTTTCAGCCTCTTTTTTTGAAGGGAAAAGGTGCATCTTATACTCCAAAAAAATACGGTAGGTGAAAACTGCGGGAAATCTCAGTCGGCTTTCCCCAGTTGTGCCAATATGATGTATCCAATAAAACTATTCTTTGAGGAACTTACCTGCCTTGGACTCCTGCTTTTTATAAGTGCATTCCTTGGATAATTCTCAATCAGGAGAGCAGACGGGGTTCAGGACCCCGGAGAGCAGCCTCAATTAGATCAGAGAGTTGAAGGAGAGTCGGTTTGATGTCAGCGTCCCAAGCAATGCACCCCTCGAAAGCAGAACTCCGAGGCAGGCAGATTCCTCAAAGGACAGTTTATTGGATACATCATATTGGCAAAAACTGGTGAAAGCCGACTCTGAAAGTTCCTGCAGCTTAAAAAGTTTCCCCCCCTCTTTCCCCCGCAAGTCACAGGTCACGCTGTCCATTCAGGGTGCTGGCTGGTTGCTTGGTTACTTCGCTGCTTCTCTGCCCAGCCACCTGCGAGAACGTCCTTGGTTCCCACAGGAGAAACTTTTATTGTTTTGGCCACAAAACTCCCATCTAGCTTTTTCTCCCCTTCCCCGTCCCTTCTTTTGCTTCATGGCAACCCTGAAGCCTCCAAGAGGGCCTCACTTCAGGGTTGACATTGACATTATTGGAAACTCCCCCCACTCCACCCTCCCCTTGTCCTGTTTGAGGTCTTGTGGCAAACAATAATAAACTCTGTAGGGGTCCCACTTTTTTAGGGTAGATCCCCATGCACGGGTTTTTTTTAAATTACTATTATTATTATTATTAGTTTGGTTTTTAAGTAAGCCTTTCCCTGGCAGTTTCCAAACTTTAAAGGGAATGTTTCCTCCCTTTAAAAACAAAATTGGCAATTCTCTAGGTCGGGGCAAAGGCCCTGGGGGCTGAAGGCTCACAATTCTCCCCCTTTGAGCTGTCCGATCTAGCAGCCCGCCAACCTCCCCGTGCCTGTTGCATTTAGGCTGAGCCGAACGTGGCATGGAAGTCAGCGGGGTCTTCCCCAACCCTTCCTGTCTCCAGGAAGTTGGTGCCCTGAAGAAGACAGAGAAGGCGGGGAAGCAAAGGGCAGCCCGACCCATTGCAGACGACCGAGCCGTGGTGGTTAATTTGGAAGCATTTTTTCCCCCCCTCCTCCTTTTGGGGAACGTCCGGCAGGATTAGACTTGGCAGTTGGGGACGTCCTTTGGCCTTTCTCCTCCACTGCCGGTCTCTCCTGCGTGACCAGCCAGCATCCTGCCTCTCCTCCTTCCAGGCGGCGCTCCACCTCCTCCTCCACCTCCTCCTCCTCCTCTTCCTCGTCCACTTCCTCCTCCTCCAGCTCGCAGTCCAGCTCACGGTCCCATCGGACAAGCAGCTACCACAGGACCGGCGGCTACAGCCGTTCCCGCAGCCACAGGTATTCCCGGTCCCACAGCAGGACCCGGCGGTACTCGGCCGGAGGCTCTCGAGATGGGCGCCGACACTCCAGGTCGCGGTCGACAGAGCGGGGCTGGCGTTACGGCTCTCGGCGCAGATCCAGGTCAGTGAGCCAAGCGGCAGGGGAAGGGTACTCCTGTGTGCCTCTTCGTGGGGAACAAGGCTAGATGTGCCCCCCCAACGCAGGGACTTCCAACTTGGGTAGTTTTTAAGACAGGCGAACTTCAACTACCAGAGTTCCTCAGCCAGCCACGCTGGATGGGGAATTCTGGGAGTTGAAGTTCGCAAGTCATAAATTGCCAAGGTTGGATATCCCTGCTTGGCTGGCAGGGGAATTCTGGGGGTTGGAGTCCACAAGTCTTAAAAGTTTGCCAAGGTTGGATATCCCTGCTTGGCTGGGGAATTCTGGGAGTTGAAGTCCACACGTCATAACATTGCAAGGGTGGATCCCTCTGCCTGAATGCAAGGCTCTTCCCTCATTCCCAGGAGCCATTCCCGGTCTGGGGAACATTATCGGTGGAGCAGAGGAGGGAGGCACTGGAGCAGCAGCCCGAGCAGCCAAAGTGAGAGTGAATCGCGGAGCCGCAGCCGGTCAGTGTCTCCAGCCAGAGAGAAAATGCTGAGGCCTGCGGTTTCACCTGCGGTAGGGGAGAAACTGAAAAAGTGAGTGTGCCGTTTTACTTATTTCTATTTCGTGTATTTATTTACTTATACGCCACCTTGATTGTTTTTTTCCATCCATTTGAAAAGGTTTACTTAGAATCAGTCCATGTAAATAACATTTAAAAAGTAAGATAACCACTGTCTAAAACCATTAGAAAGATCAAAATCGCCGCTAAGTTCTTCTATTCTTTGATTTAAGTTAGTTTTAAGATTTTTTAGGCAGTCCGTTTTTCTTTAAACAATAAAAGTTTCTTACCAGNTGCCGCGCGGCCAATGGGGCGGCGAGGCAGGCGCGCGGGGGGCCGGGGGAGGACTGCCATTGGCTCCAGCCAGCGGGTGATTGGCGTCGGGCGAGGCCAACCAGCGGCGCCGGACCTTCTTCCCTCTCTCCCCCCTCCTTTTTTTTTTTTTTAAGATTAAGCCGCCACATCCGGGTACTCGGCCTCATGGAAGATGTGTCGGCGGGAGGGGGAAGAGGCGTCTGGAGGCGCCCCGGGGCGTTTTTTTTTTTAAATTTCGGCCCTCGGCGGCCACCGTAAGCTTGCCTTCCTTTGCTTTCAATGGGGGGGAAATTATCCTTTTTTAATTAAAATGTGCAATAATTGAGCCCCCAAAATACATCGTGGTTGTGTTGCCTCCTGGCTTGCACAAGTCCCAAGCTGCTTTTGCATATCTCAGGTTGGCAACAGACCATGGCTTGCTTTAAAGCAAGAGCCAAACGTGGCTTGCATCTCATCTCATGAACAAACCATGGTTTGTTCAATCATGGTTAATTGAGTAAAACCACCATTTGGCTGGGTTTGGGCAAAGCTGCAAACCTCCCACTGGGTAGGAACTATGTTGGCTTGCATAAAACGTGGTTTGCGTGGCAAAATTGCCCAAGAAGCTGCAATTTGCAATGGTACTGAAATGAGCGACTTGTGGCCAGTCCCCACACTTACGACGTGATCAAAAATTGGGCACTTGGAAAACGGCATGCATTCATGATAGTGGCAGCATCCTCAGGTTGCTGTTGGTGACCTTGGCTGGCTTCCCACAATCCCAGAGATTCGTTTAACGTCTGAACTGATTTGCTTAACGACCTCGGGGGGTGGGGAGAAAGAGGATGCAGATTGGAGCGCAGCTCACTTAAAAACTGCCTTGCTTAGCGACAGAAATGCTGTGGAAAAATTTTGGACGTCAAAAGCCCGATTCCCCTCTTGAACCAAGCCGCAAAGGTTGGGACTAGATGCCCTCTGAGGCCCTCTCAGATTCTTCCAGCATTGTCCTCTTAGCGCCCAAATCGGGTGTGAATCCACTTTATGCTCCAGCGTAAAGCTGGGAACTGAGTGGTGGCCTAGAGACGGAGTTCCCTCCTCACAATCAGGAGGTTTGATCCTAGGTAGAGGCAAGTATTTCTCTCTCTGGACACAACTGAGAATATATCTGCCGAGCAAAACTCCGTTCTGGCAACAGGGAACAGCATCCGGCCAGGAAAAAACACTCTTCTAGCTCCATTCGGTTGCCGAGACGCCATCCCGCAAGGGATTATGGTGTCGTTAAGAGGATGATGATAAAAGCTGGGAACTGACCACCTCCCCCCCCCCCAGATAGGGAAGGCCCTCCGCACATTCTCAGAAACCCTCTTTCCATCATGAAACAGGAGACAAGACGCAGGAAGGAAAATACAGACGTCTTTTTTTATTTACAGGATGAGAGCAGGGGCGGGGGGGGAACCCAACTCAAAACAGTTAACAGAAACACGGCAACAACGGGGCTGGGGGTGGGGACCATATTGCTCAGACTGAGCCCTGAGGTTGGGGGGGGGGAGAGAGGAAACCCCTCGCCCCTGGGGGAGTCCCGGGGCTCTTTTTTATGAACAGAAAGACGGTTGCGGCCCCCATTTTCCGCGACGGGGGCGCCCTTACAGTTAAAGCACGTGCCACAAAGGAGTGGGGGGGGGGAGAGGACAGGGGGGAAAAAAGAGGGAGGGGCTCTGTAATAAATAAATTTACAAAATAGCTTCTGGTTTTCTGTTTCTTTCTTCCCCCTTGTAACACTGACGGTAAAAATAATACTTAAAAAACACAAAGCGAGACACCCCCCCCTCCTCCCCAATTAACCCCCCTCCCTAATGAATTGGGAGGGGGTGGAAGAGAAAGGAGTGGGCGGGGCAACCCGAGGGGGCGTTGTCCTTTAGGAGTGGGCGGGGTATAACTGCACCCCCCCCGACCCCCACCCCACTCCAATTCTGCAACGGACACGGTGCACAAAAATAGACATTTACGGTGGGGGGCGGTGACCCGGATTTGAGGAGGGGGAGGGAGGGAGGAAGAGATTTGGGGTGTGTCTGTGAGTGTGGGGGGGGGTCTCGAGCCCCCCAGGCATGTGCAAAGTGCAGACCTGGACCGGGAATCCCCCCCCCCTCCTCTCAATTCCTTCGGAGGAGGACAGCACCGCAGCTCCCAGGGTCGAAAGGATGGGGTCTCCGTCCTGGGACCGCTCCCCGCCTGCACCCCCCCCACCCCAAAGGGCCCAGGGTTGCTGGAAACAGCCTAAGGACCTCGTCTGTGCCCCCTCCCCAAATTTGGTTATCAGCTCCAGTTTCATCCTTGGCTAGTTTTTTCTTTTTGACCCAGGCAACAGCAGCAGCAGAGATGAGTGGGTTGGTGGGGAGGGGGGGCAGCTGGGCTCCCCCCTCCCGCTAGCATTCCAGGTTGGCACCGAAACTCTTCCGGCAATCGATAGCCTTGGTGGTGAGGGGCTGCGCCCTCTGTTTTCGGAGAGGCTCCTTCCCCATGTTGCTAGCCAGCTTCGAAAAGGCCGACTTGTACTTCTTGTCAAATTCGGCTGCGGGGAGAGAAGCGTTTCGTTCATGTGACCGTTCCAGGTTAACAACGCCCATTTTTTTCCCACACGCTTGGCTCATATTTGTGACCATCCCCGGGGGTTTACGTCATCCTCCTGGCCAGCAACGGGGGAGCTTCGCTTAACAAACGTGTGGCTATCTTAAAAACGGCGACGATTCACTTAGCAACGGTGGCCAGGAAGGTCATAAAATGGTTGCAAAAAGGGGTTTTTCCCCCCTCCTTTTATTAAGCATCCCGGAGGGATTTAGGCAGGTTGCTAGTCCTCATAGTTGGAGATCCTAGTGGCGTTTCCCCCCCTTTATGATACAGAATGGGCACGGCAAGGTGCTAGTCCTCATGGTGGGAGATCGTAATGTCCTCCCCCCCTTTTATTAAATACACTGGGCAGGAGAAAGGTGCCAGTCCTCATGGTGAGAGATCCTAATGGCGTTATCCCCCCCTCCCCTTGATAATACAAACTGTTCATGGGGTAAGATACTAGTCCTCATAGTGGGAGAGCCTGCTTGCATTCCCCCCCCCCCCTGTTTTATAATACACACTGGGCGTGGGCAAGGTTTTAGTTCTTAGGGTGGGAAATCTTGATAGCATTCCCCCCCCCTCCACTCTTTTATAAAGCACACCAGGCACAGCCAAGGAACTAGTCCTCAAGGTAGAAAATCCTTCCCCCCTGCTTTATGAATCACACTGGGCCTAGCCAAGGTGCTAGTCCTCAAGGAGAAAGCCCGACCAAAAAGCCCCAAAGGGACAGATCCGCAAAATGAGACAGTGAGGCCATCCTACTCGTCCCAGACCTCCAACGTATAGGGATCGTGTCTGCCCCCTACCTCCTTCAACCCTGTTGTCCATCTTCCGCCAACTCCTTACCAATGTCCACATGCTCCCTGCCCAACGCGGCTATTTTCAGGAAGAGAAATTCACGATACACGCTCCTGAAAGAAAGAAAAAAGACGGAGCCATTTTGAAACGTTTCACCCCCTAACTTAATTTTACTGTTATTTTTAATGCATTGCTTTATTTATTATTAGCCGATAACCCGGGGTATTTATTTATCCTAACCCCCCTTCCGTGAATCCCGCCGCAATTTCTAAGGTTGAGATTTTCCCACCTTACCAGAGGGAGCCCTCCTCTTGCGGAGGACTGTGAAGCAACTCCTCTGCTCTGTACAGTAGAAGCCATTTTTACGGCACTACGGTAGAAGCCGTTTAAAGGCACAACAGGCTGCATCTTAACAGAACACACGCCCTCTCTCCGAGGGATGCTAGGGGTGTCTTACCCCTTCAGTATTTGTTTCCAGAGAGTAAGTCATCTGTGTATCAAGTTTGAACGCTCCAGGCGTTCCAGAGTTATGCTGGGGCACACGCACGCATACACAGAGCCATTTATATATATAGATAGATACTGTACTGCCACTCTTTGAGAGAGATAGATGGATGGATGGAAAGATACGACGTGTAAATAAATGTAAATAAACAAATTTGTTAAATTTGATGCCCCCCCCCCCGCATCCTGTTATCGGCTGTTTTTGAGGGAGGGGCTTGGGCCACGAGGGAAAGGAGAAGAAAGCCCACCTCTGCAACAGCCCGGAGTTGGCATAGCCTGCCACCTTTTCGACGAAGAGGACGATGGCTTTGTGGACCTCCCCCAGGCCGAGATAATTAATGACCGCGTCCAGGAAGGACAGAGAGAATGGGTGGTTATGCTTGCGCCAATTTTGCAGCCGCGTGGGAATCTGGCCTGGGAAAGGAAGAAGACTGGCGTAAGAATCCGGAAGGCCCCCTCCGTTCGAGGACCGGATGGCACCGATGCCCATCTCCGTCTATTTCAGCCAGCCAAACCCATCG